GCTAGTTTCTGGTTGATAATTGTTGGCAATCTTTAATCTCTCCAGCTACTAGTCAGCACTCCAAGTAGCTTCCAGAACTTCAGGCAAACAGGTAAAGCAAGGAACTTTGGGGGTTTTTCAGTGCAATAGTAACAAGGTTGTCATTCTAAATTTTCAGTCTCTGAAGCTACGTACATGGCCCAAACTTAGAAGAGTACTCTAAGAAGTCATTTAAACCATCCTGAAACCTCCAGCTCTTCAGTCTGCAATTTGTAGTGTCACTAAATATATGTCTTTGAGAAAATACAGACTTGGAAAATGCTCAGGAGATTTATAAGATTTCCCACTTGTCAGCTGTAAAAGGAAGAGTGCTTGAGAGGTAGATAGTTGTTTTCTTTGTTTTTCATCACATTTGCACAGAAAAGACTGCATATGAAATTCAAATGTTTGTATTATTTCTGTCTGTGGTAATGTGGCACAAAATCAGAGTTTCAGAGATAACTGGGCCTCTTGCCATTATGGACATCAGAGATTAAACCCAGTATTTGGAAGTCCATCTTAGGAAATCATTGGAAGCCAATGCAGACTCTGAAATATCAGTGTTTATCCTTAGTGCTTCATTCGGTAATAAAAGTCAGGCTGTTATATTTTGCACTACCTTAATTTTTCAGATGATCCTGAAGTGGTGCCCATGTGGAGTGCAGGCAGCCATACAGTCCCAAAGTAACAAAGGCATAAATGATCATTGTAAGGTCCTACATCGAAGAAGAAACCAAGACAGATGGAAAAAATTTCTGCTACAGCTGCTGTTTGATCTTCCAAATGTTGATCTGGCTCTAATAAAACTAATTGTGAACCTGTATCACACACTGAGCATTCCCTAATACTGGACAACCATCCTCAGGCTTGTTTTCTGCTTACCTAGTTTCAGTATTCATTTTCAAGCATTATTTTTCTGTCAACCATGGCACCTGATGTGTTGAAAACAAACAGCCCTGACAACACACTGCTGCCCGTGTTTTCTTACCAAGGCTCATAAGCGTTATCGTGAACAGGACCTGTTGGAAGCTTCCAGCTTTTCATGACTAGAGCCACTGCAGTGGTTCTGTCTCTGATTAATTCTGTTTGCAGACTTCTGCACACAACAGGAGAAGCAGCAGGGTCATTGGGCAGTTAATAGTGAAATCATCACGGACATTGATTTCAATCATGGATTTTGACACAAGCCTCTACTTCCGACTATGTCTGAAACGCAGCTGATAAAGATGTTAAAAATAGGATGACATTAGAGATTTCAAGATTTGAATGGTCTTACAAAACTTTAAAGAGTAAGGCTTCCTGAAATTCGTAGAACTGGTATTAATTTC